TAAATTAGTTCATTTGTATCATTTTTTTTAAGACAGTGATATCATATGATATTTGTCTGACTTATTTCACTTGGTATGACAATCTCTAGGTCCATCCATGTTGCTGCAAATGGCATTATTTCATTCTTTAAGAATACAGTATACTGTAAAGCTTCTGCCTTTTTATTTTTTTCCAAAAAGGGTGTGGTGGATCGGAATACAGACTCTGCAAACTGTTGCTGACAATCACAGTTTAACCAACATGGAGCTACTAAAACATCTCCAACAGACTTGATTTATATTTAATGGCTTTATATTTAATTGGACTATGATTTCTTTTTTAAAAAGATATTTTACTCTTTAATAACAAAGAAATGCTCAAAATATGTTAAATAAAAAGAAAAATGATGTAAAACAAAATTAATTTATTTATTCAACAAATATATTCTAAACTCCTTCTTTGTGTCTGGTACTGTTCTAGGTCATACACTGAGCAGTGAACAAATCCAAAGTCCTCAATTTCATGAACTCTATATCGTAGTGAGGGGAAGATAAGAGTAAGCAAATAAGTAAATATATCATTTGTCTGACAGTGAGAAATAATGGTGAACAAAACAGAGTTGGTGAAGGCAGTGATTCCCAATTATGAAAAACAAAACAAAACCTAAAATACGTATGTGGAACATTTAGGTATTACTTGTGAAATTTATCTACCTCTATAAATTGCATTTTTCCTATTCCAAAAACAGTCATTAAAAAGCTCCTAAAATATTTATTAGCACATAATAAATTGCTTTCTCTGTGAAAGGGAATGCAATGTAGTTCCACGTTCACAGCTGGTTAAGGATTTGCAAAATATTGAGAGAAACTCTGTCCTGATTCGTGTAAGAATTCTTTCTATTTTAGGCTAACAATTCATTCACTGCAAACACAATTTATGACCAGGGCACGCTGAATATTCACAGTGTAATTTTTAAAACTGTAATTGTAAAAAATGATTCTATCTCTTTAGTTCAGCAGAATAATGTTAAAGACAGAGAATGTTTTTAGTAACAGAAACAACAGGAAATTTAATTCAAACTTCCAGAGCTAAATCAATGCTCCAATTGGAAATACTAAACCCTGGGACTCAGTAGCTATTGTCGTAACATTCCAATTTGATTACTCCTGTAATTTTAAGTATGATGTGGGCAGCAATTCATATAACAGTTTCGTAATACACAGGATGGAAGCAACAAAGAACAGTGTATTAACCATTGGACACAGTAGAATGGAAAAGAAAACCATTTGGAGTCATTACATTTAAACTGTGGGTCAATACTTTTTAGTGGTGTTCTACTGCCAATTTCATAAATCTTAAGGTACCTAGCATAATAATTATATTTAATGTCTATACCCACTATCAGAGTTAAGAAAATATCATACTAAGTGAAGTAAGTCAGACAGAGAACAGCAAATGTCATGTGATATCATTTATATGTGGAATCTAAAAATTAATACAAATGAACTTATTTACAAAGCAGAAGCAGACTCACAGAGATAGAAAACAAACTTATGGTTACCAAAGGGGAAAGAGGGACGGGGAGGGGGAGGGATAAAATAGGAGTTCGGATGAACATATACACACTATTATATATAAAATAGATAATCAACAAGGACTTACTGTATAGCACAGGGATGTCTACTGAATATTTTGTAATAACCTATATGGGAAAAGAATCTGAAAAAGAATGGATATATGTGTATGTATAACTGAATCACATTGCTGTACACCTGAAACTAACACAACATTGTAAATCAACTATAATATAAAATAAAAATTAAATTTAAAAATACCTAAGCTATCAAAACACCAATACTATTTTCTAAATTTCAAAAACAACAGCAACAAGAAGAACCACAGAGAAAAGCAAACCAATATTGAGAGAAGTACGTTGGACAAAGGAAGAGAAGTCTAACAAAGCACGTTTGTTTGCTGGGTCATTTAGGCAATACAGAAAACAACGGGGAAAGGGAAGGTGAGCTCCGCACACGACAGAGCAGACTATAACTCACAGTGAATGGGAATCCTTGGGAGTCCCATGCTTTTGCCTGGGTTGGTAGTAGTCTATTTCCAAAGCCCAATAGGTCACCACAGGCTAAGTGACTCCTCTGTTTAAAAAGTTAGAGCCTTATTCAGATGGAGGATGCCAGATCAATTCATGCTTTTAACTCTTCTGTTTAAAATGCCTCAACTTGTAGACACATTATGAGTGTTCACAGGTTCCCCTGTAATGCTCGGCTTGTCAACTCAGTGGCCTCGTATGGTGGTTAAGCTAATCTCAGTGCAGGCGAAGGGTCTATGTTTGGATAGTTATGGTATCATCACACATTAGTGTGTTTCTCTTAGAGTAAACAGATATAAACATATTCTTCCTTTTACTGGAACAGTCCAATGCCAGGAAAAAATTAAAGACCTGCTAATATGTGGATTTCACAGAGAGCTGCGTGTCTCACTGAGAAATCCAACCCCAAACAATTGAGACCTGCTTCCCTTTCATTGTTAATCGCGCTTAAAAAATAAGCCCTTAGAAGAGCTCAAACTCATCTCTTGGCAGCCTTCTGCTTCTCCATAAACCCTAACTAATTTACGCTTTGATTTGTTGATTAGAATTTTAAGAACTGCATTTTATTCAATTTAACTCTGCTGCCGATCCCTAATAAAGTTACACATACAGACCAAGAGAAAGACATTAAGGAAGAACTGAAAAGAGAAACGGAACCCCCTTCCTAAGGGTGTTGCTAAGAACTCCAATCAGAAAAACGGTTTCAGAGACAAAAGCTCTGAGATACGCTTTCTCCCAGAGAGCAGGAATGGTGAGGCTAGAAAGAAGCACACCAAGTACAGAAAAACCTACTTGAGATTCTGTTAGGTCTGAATCACCTTTCTGACTCTGTCACAGAAAGATCGGGAGGGCTTGCAAAGCTTCAGTCCTCTGAGCAAAGCAGTGACGAGTAGCTAAACACACACCCACCCCAATGATACAGTAGAGGCCGGGAAACTCGGGGTTATTCCTAAGAAGGAACCTCACGGGAAGGAAAGACCAGGTGCTGACATGGACCAGAAATGACACTGCGCAGGGCACCCAGGTTCACTCTACAAAGTGGTTGGTCACAAGAAGCTGCAAGAGGCTATCCAACGAATACACACCCTGGGGCATCAGAGAGGTTTTAAGTGTATTACTTTCCTTCTCTCAAATTGTTGTTGGCATTCGTGAACATCAAAATTCCGTGTTTCGTACACACTGCTGCATATAAAATAGATAATCAACAAAGACCTACTGTATAGCGCAGAGAACTCTACTCAACATTCTGTAATAACCTAAAAGGGAAAAGATTCTGAAAAGAATAGATACATGAATCACTTAGCTGTACACCTGAAACTAACACAACACTGTAAATCAACTATACCAATATAAAATAAAAATTAAAAACGTAAGAAAAAATATTCTATGTTTCTCCACATCTAAGTAACAAAGGCAGATTTGAAAGCTATCTGGATCAGTGGTAGGATAGTTAACAATGATGTTAATTGCAATTTTAGGCATTACATCTAGAAACAAACCAAAAAAATGGTAAGAGAATGTTTTGTATTCACAATTTGCCCACCAGATAAATTTGTGGGTCTTCTGAGGTTTAACCAACTGTTCTTAGGCAACATTTAAGTACAAACATATTTGTATAATAAAGATCATTTGTTTTTTTATCTCTCATTTATTCATTTTAATGAAGTCAAAGTCACTGTAACCAAATGTATGAGGGTAAAGAAATACATAAACAGCCTTAAGAAAGGAGGGAAAAGAAAACCTTTTTCTGAGCTCTAAAAGCAAAAAAGCTAGAGAACTGGGAAAATTTTCCCAGGAATCCGTGCAGAAGGACTGGGGTCAATTCTACTGTGACGTGAGGGAAGGATGAAAGCTGGGGGTGGGGCAACAGTAGCAGGTAGAGCGCCCCGTGAATGTCACACGTGTAGACGACACTGCTGGGGCCTAGGCGGCCGCCTTGGCTCTGACCACAGTAAAGCTGACCACACCTGTCTGGCCCTCAGGTCACACTTACAAAGGTGAGGATGGTGGACAAAGTCCCCTTCAGCAATCACGTCTGTCTGGCCTAATCTCATGAGGAATTCTTGTGATAAGAAGATTACCAAAAGTATACTAAAATGTCCTTACTTGTGTCTGATATCTGCACAGGCCCCTTGGAGAAGCGCACTTTGAATCACATTTGCCCTTTTTCTTTTTTTTAATCGAAGTAGAGTTGATTTACAATGTTGTGTTAAGTTTCTGGCGTTCAGCACAGTGATTCAGTTATAGACACACACACACAGACATATGTATTCTTTTTCGGATTCATTATAGTTTATTACAAGATACTGAATACAGTTCCCTGTGCTCTACAGTAGGACCTGTTGTTTATCTATTTATACATAATAGTTTATCTGTTTTATATACAGTAGTTGCTAATCCCAAACTCCTGATTTGCATTTTAAAGTAAGAACTAGAATCGCTGTGTGTTTCAGTCAGGTGACAGAAGGTTCCGTCTGGCCTAGTCAGTCCAGCCACAAAAACTGAAGAAACGCTGGTACTTCTTTTGACCCCTGTGGATAACCAGTAAAGACCATGTAAATTGATTTTGAATAGCAGAAAGCTACTAAAACACTCAGAAAAACTAATGTTCTTTCTAGAAAAGCATTTGAATAAAATCATGTAAAGATTTTCTCCCATAGTAAGTTTTTTTTCCTTTTTATCATTTTCATTTAAACACAACAGAAGTTTTTCTTTCTTTCTTTTTTTTTTTTTTGCAGTATGCGGGCCTCTCACTGCTGTGGCCTCTCCCGTTGCGGAGCACAGGCTCCGGACGCGCAGGCTCAGCGGCCATGGCTCACGGGCCCAGCCGCTCCGCGGCATGTGGGATCCTCCCGGACCGGGGCACGAACCCGTGTCCCCTGCATCGGCAGGCGGACTCTCAACCACTGCGCCACCAGGGAAGCCCAGAAGTTTATTTCTTGCTCAAGTCATTTTCAGTGCGTGTTGACAGGGTGGAGAGAAGGCTCCTATTAATTTACAGACCCGTCTCTTTCCATTTAATTCACGAGTTCTGAACCTCTCTCTTGCTCCTCTCTTTTGCTCTATGACTCATTCGGCAGTTTGGTGAAGCATACGGATCTCTTCTCAGAATAATGTTTTTAAATGCGTTACATAAAGCGCAGGGTATTATCAAGGAAATGGATTACACTGAAATATAGTTATCAAAGTTATTAAAAAATTTGGTGTTGCAGGTGTGCTTCCTTATTAGATTATATGACAACATTTAATCTAATCTGGTAAATCTCATAATTATTGTAATCTTGAAGTAGTGAAGCACAGACGCTACTTTGAGCTATCTGGAATAACGGTAATGTGATTTCTATTGGTGTCAAAGAATATTTTGCTGGGCCCTTTGCACCCGGCTGGCCAATCAGTGAAGAGCGTGTGGAGGACGGGGCCTGGAGGTACCCTGCATTTCTGTCTCTCCACGTCAGGGCCAGAACTCGGTCACATGGCTACTACCTAAGCGCTGGGAAACAACTTCACTCTTCCCTTTCCCGTGATGTCTCCTGGTTGTTTTGTTTTGGAGGGGGATTGTCTGAAGCTCATTCTATAGCAGATTCCTCAGCAAGGGCTCATGAGAGCAGTAGTTCAGTTCTTATACTATTCATAACTCTTCCTCTGTGGTTGTTATACTTGCAGCTAAGTTTGGGCAGAAAATCTGTGGCATTATGTTTTCCATCCTTGAGTTCCTTAAATATGCTACTCCATGGATTTTCTTCAATCACCTAATTTCTGATCTAATTCTGATTTATGTTTTCTTTCCTATCCTCCATCAATTAAACCATTTTTTTTTTTACCTTGTTTTGAAATAATGGTTTAGCGTTTTCATCTATTTTTGTAGGCTTTGGGGGGCATGTTTTCATCGCAGGGAGATTATTCTGTTCCTTGTTTTTCCCTTAGAAAAACTTTGCTGAATTTTATTTTGCTTGTTTTCTTGTTTTTTTCTTTTTCCTTTTCTTTGCTGTACGCGGGCCTCTCACCGCTGTGGCCTCTCCTGCCTCGGAGCACAGGCTCCAGACGCGCAGGCTCAGCGGCCATGGCTCAGGGGCCCAGCCGCTCCGCGGCATGTGGGATCCTCCCAGACCGGGGCACGAACCCGCGTCCCCTGCATCGGCAGGCGGACTCTCAACCACTGTGCCACCAGGGAAGCCCTGTTTTTGTTTTTAATGAAATAAGTTCTCCTGTACTTTGAAAGGGAGAGCCCAGGATAGTTTTTCTAACTTCATGATTCTCGAACTCTCCCTTCTGTTGTTTTTTCACAACGTGATTTTTAAAAACTAGCCTTCCAGTCCATAAGACTGCCTAAGTTGTTGTCAGTCGCTTTTTAACCTGGATACTTTCTTTCTTATCCCCTATTGTCCCGTCCTGTTCAATTTGGATCCTGCTTCCAGCAGCTTTCCTCAGTGTGAAGATCTGTTTTGGAACAGAGATTTGGTTTGCTTGCTTCAAGAGTTTAGAAGGCCCGGACTGCTCTAGCATCACCCTGCGGAATCGTTTCCAGTCCCCTTATACTCACCTATGAACCAGATCCTGCAAAGAACACCCACCCAATCTCATGGCTACCCTGACCGGCTTGCTGGACTTTCCAGCAAGTTGAGGGATTTCCTCTTCTCGAGCCATCAGCTGTGCTGTTTCCTTTCCTCTGCTTCCTCACACATAGTTACAAACCCTACAAGAATCTCACAGCTCATAGCTGTTGGCAGTCTGTCCTTACCTGCTAGTATAGGGGGGTTTGTGGAGGAACCTGGCTTGCTGTAGTTGCTCTCTGTGGGTTGCGATTTTGATATCCCAGTTGCTCTGTTTTTATGGAGAGATGAATGAACAACGCGACTGCTGCCACCATCCTTTAGGAATCTCCTTCCTGAAGTCTGTATTTTTAAATTTAAACTGATTATTGCTCAAGGTCTGCTTCAGAATATGATGAACTGGGGCTATTAGTCATTCTAACAAAAAGGTAGTAAACTACCAGTGATCTTCAGACTGTAGTTCTGGGAAGCGTGGGCGATGTATGCGTGTGTGCATGTCTGTGTGTGTACGTACAGGCACCTCTGTTTTCCTTTCCTCACCCCACCTTAAACAGAGGGGATCCAGTATAGATCCAGTATAGATGAAATATTTAGTCTGAAGAAAAGATTACGTGGTTAGAACTGTCTGAACATCACTGCTCAGGAATCATCTTTTAAAATCAGTATTTAAGACATAAGTGAAGTGAACTGACTCCTAAAACAGATTTAGTATTTGCAGAGATAAATTGAACCAAGAACCACAATCAAAGTTGAAGCAAAAAACATATCTTTCAATAATCCCTCCTGTTTTTCAAAGGCTTGAGGAGAAGACATACATTTATTACATTCCTTTACGTTTCTGTTAACAGTTTTTATTGGTCTTAGTTTTCTCCAATTGACTATCTGTTGCCTGCATATCAACTATGGTATAGAATGTGGTTCTTAAGTTGTCCAACTACTTACTTAGAACAAATGTGAAAATTTAAAGCGACACATGCTTAAAGTAATCTCAGAAATCATCAACCAAATTTGATTTTTTTCTACTTTGTATTATCTATTTAAAATTGTAATTTCCCTTATAGATGTTACGAACGAAATGTTGAAAAGACCAACTTTAGAAAAAATAAAAACCAAACCCTAACTGTCAGTGTTTGTGCAGGAAGACGGGACTCCTCCTGGGTAATCCAGAGATCCCAGTGTGCACTCTAGGGTACCACATGCCCATGGAATCGGACCCCATGGACCTGCCTCTCACCCCCTGGATCAAAGAGACCAGGATCTGTAACCCTTTTGTAAGCAGAGAGATTTTCATGTCCCTAGATGGTAAGACCCCCAGGAAGCAAGGAGGGCAGTTATCATAGGGCCACACTGCAGTTCTGGCAAACCAGGAAAGAAAAGGGTAGGCTGCAGGGCAATAATTCTTCCAGAGACCTACAAGGTCCAAAGGCAAGATCTATTGGTGGATTCCAATCCATTAGTTGGAATCTCCATATTTGACCACTGGTAAACATGACCTTCCCAGGAAGCCTCTAATTACTGTAATGTTCTTAAGTTTTCCAACCTGTCTGATACATACCAGCTTCTTTAACCTGAAGACTCAGATTAGTACTACTTGGGCCTTGTAACATCTGTCTGCAGAGCAACGTGCCAGGCTCTGTAACCCCAGGCATTGTAAACCCTTATCCAGAAACTTGCCAGGAAGGGACAATATTGAAGGACTGTGTGCATAGAAAAGTTGTGAAAATAAAGAAAAAGAAAACTGGCATTTTGTGTTTATTTTAGAAATCAGAGGACTTTAAGGAAAAACATACAAACTGGCAGTAGATTACATTTGTCTCTTCTACAGGCAGAATCCTTCACTGAAAAATGGAGTGAATCAATGTTCATTCTCTCGAAACTTGTTTAATCATGTATAATACTAAGGAGAAGTCAAACTTGACGTGTGTATTATAAAATATAGCTTTTCTTCTGCCAGTGAATTAACTGCTCGTCAACTTGACAGGCTCAGCTCTACTTTAAGTTATTACTGAGGTACCTGACCATCCTAAGGGTGCAAATACATAAGTTGTTAGTGGGCAGAATGGAACTGCAAAACTCAAGGGGAAGATGCCACAGAGGTCCACCAGTATGACGACAAAGGTGAAGCCATACTGTCAGTGAGAAAAATATTTTACTTATGACTAATGCAATTTAGATGTATCCACTTTTTGCTGCAACAGTTTCTTTTAGGTAAATTAAAGATCCCTAATGAGCTTTAAAAAACACATTAAGAATTCCCTGGCGGTCCAGTGGTTAGGGCTCCGTTCTTCCACTGCAGAGGACACGGGTTCCATTCCTGGTTGGGGAACTAAGATCTCACATGCTGCGTGGCACGCCCAAAATAGTAATAATAAAATAAATAAATAAATAAATAAAACAATATCCTTTACCTCCTATCTTCTCTCTGAGGTAACTGCCATAGAAGGTTAGAGCTCAGAGGGATTTTGGTGATTCTCTAACTGAAGTCCGTCACTTTACAACTGAAGCAACGTTGATCCACAGGGGTTTATTTAAAAATAAACACAACATTTATGCATCACTGAATCCCTTTGCTGTCCACCTGAAACTAACACAACACTGTTAATCAACTATGCTCCAATATAAAATAAAAAGTTAAAAAAATTAAATAAACACACCACTTAGTGTGTGCCCACGACACCAGGCGCCAACGCACACGTTCTGAAGTAACCCCAGCAGCTCTGAAGGATTTCGTCATGCTCAATTTAGAGATGAAGAGTTCAGGAGGCGGATGACTCTACCGAGAACGCATATGCAGTGAGCCAGTTCCAGACCCAAGATTTAAATCTGTCATGTTTTAGCAGTTGTGTGGTTTGGTTCCCCACTCCCCTGGATCCCCTCAATTTCACACCTAATGTTAAGTGACCCTCCCAAGGTCATGCAACTAGAGTAATATGTGAATCCAGGTCTTCTGACATCAGGGATTTAGTGTATTCTCCCTTCTCCATTTCATTTTCATTACTGGGTAGTTAGGTACCTCCCTCAATGAAGTGGACTTTAACACTATTTCTTAGTGACTCCTGTGAGTAAAGTACTATGGTAGATGTTCAGTGTAGCATAAACATCCCCAGAGTAAACGGATCAGCGTGTGCCAAGCTCTTATTTCACTTTATGACCACCGCTTTTCCATTTTCTCAGTGGGTCTGATTTAATGTCCTCTTTCATCATCATCATCATCATTATCATTATTATTACTATTTTGGCATTAAGCCAGATAATTGTGGGTAATATGGAAAAAGTATAGGATACAGAGTTCTTTGCCCTCGAGTACTTAAAATTTGGTTGGAGACACTAAGATCTGAATAAAGGAGTTAGAGGGACTTCCCTGGTGGCGCAGTGGATTTCGTGCTCCCCGGCCCGGGTTCGATCCCTGGTCAGGGAACTAGATCCCACATGCATGCTGCAACTGAGGAGCCGGCGAGCCACGACTAAGGAGCACATCGGCGCAACCAAATAAATACATAAGATAAAAAATGAATAGAGGAATTAGAAGAAAAAACAACCGTTCAATTGTGTCAACTAGAAGTCCAGATAAAACAGAGTAAAGACTGACATACAAAGGGGAGATGGCACGCAGGACCGACAAGAAGGCCTGGGATGGGGGAAGGCAGGAGACGGGGCTTGAGAAGGGACAGCAGGTGAGCGGCACAGTTCAGGAGGGTCTGTGTGGAGCCAGGGAAGGACACTCTGCAGGAGTTCATGGAAAGAAGGCTGCCTGGAAGTGCAGTGAGGCTTGGAACATCAGGGTTCCACAACCGTAATTTACGGAGTCATTGTCGACGACTGAAAATAAAACTAATAGTTACCATCTATTACTCCCTTTAGCGTCCTCCACTGCAACTCCATTACCTAAGGACTGTCAGGCCCATCTTCAGCTGGTGGAACTGAGGCTCGCTCAGGGCATCTTGCCCAAAGCCACAGGAAAAGTAAGTGCAGGCTCGGTCTTCCAAACCATGTCTGCTGGGTGCCAAGCCCCACACTATTCCTGGCAGTTATTTCTCCATGAAAACCAACAGATTCAACAACCAAAAACGTCACCAAGGCACAAATCTTAGCCTTTCAACTTAAATTATTTTCAACCGTAACACCACAAAGGGAAAAACACACTTAAAAGATCAAAAGCCAAGGAAAGAAAACCTCACAGCCTGAGGTTTCTCTTGCAGCCAGATTGAAAAACTATAAGCACATGTCATGAAGTACATTATATGACCAATAGTTACTGTGAAATCCCAACAGAGCATACACTTCACATTTAACAGGGCACTTACATTCCTCGTGGCCACCTTAACTGACTAATTGTTTCAGCGAAAAAGTGCTTTGAAGTTTTATCTCAGAATTTTCCATAGTAACATCTCATTTAAATTACCAAGGAGAAGAATTGCTGTTTTGCATTCACTTTGCAAACACACCACAGTGAACTCTATGGAGCCTCTGCAATTCTGAAAGAGCTGGCAAATAATAAATATATTGTTGGAAGAGAAATAAGGAAAGGAGACTCAGAGGTTAACTGTTATTTTGAAACAAGACCCAAAATTCTGTCAAGAGTTTACTATAATGCAAAGAAGAAACAATCCAAAGCTTTCATGAGAGACAGTCACAAAAGCAAGAATCACCAAGACTTTGTTACACAGGACACAACACGATAGAAAACTAGCTGTGAGCTAACTGTGTATATCATGGGCCAATGCTTTCCACACAGCATTTATATGTGTACCTGTCTACTCAGGTACTAACTCTAGTATACTGCACTTAAAATTTTCTTTAATTTTATTTTTTAAAAGAGCAAAACACCTATGTAAGCCCTTTAAAAAAATAAAATATCTAGTTTCGCCTCAATTTAAAAATCATGAAATCATGGCTTTGATATACTAGTTATATACTTTTCCCAATATACATTAAAATTAATATAGGTAATTATACGTTCTTAATGTTTATTCTGTACTACCAGTAATCACTGTGCACACCTCCGGTAGTAAAGCACCATACTTTAAGAGATAACTTTATAGGTGTTCTCCTAATAAGGGGACAGTTAAAAAGTATTCCTCTATCACTGTGTAAATTGTTACACAACTCTAAAGAGTGTGAGCTCATACTCATAAATGCACACTAGTGCTTTGAGACGAGAAACTTGGTCAAACTAGAAAGTTTTGTAAAATTTGAGGCATGCTACATAACTCTCAGTTACGGTTAAACAAATACATTTTTCCATTGATAGCTATTGTTCAAGAGAGCTTTTGTAGGTGTTCAATTAAAACGGTTTAAGGAGCTCTTTAAATATGCCACGATACTTGTCATTAGTTAAGGAAGAAAGCCAGCTGTACTAGAGCCAGGAAGCTGAAGGATGAGTCAGATTTGGGGATGTAAAGGACAGGGAGAATTCCACAGGCCTGGCCCGGGGAGCAGCAGAAGTGAAGCCCGCTTCTCTTGTTCACTAAAGGATTTGCAATTCAGCCACGGCATCACCACCAGCGGTCTCTCAAGTGCCTGAGTCATACACTTTCATCTTACGGTCCGGTAATGAATTTGTCAGATACTCTTAACCAGCAAAATCTAATGGGTCCTTTTGTGGGGAAAACTTATGGTATCACCACCAGTTCTAAAGTTTTAGACATTTCTGACTTTGGCGGGAAGGTGTTTAGTATGAGATGAACTATACTATATCTGGTGTGATTTAAATTCCCTACTGCAGGGGGTAGCTGAGCTGCCTGGGTTCTGGGATCACACAGATCTCAGTTCCGTCTTAGTTCTGGCCACTCATTAGCTGTGCGACCTTGGGAAATTCTTTTTTTTTTTTTGCGGTATGTGGGCCTCTCACCGCTGTGGCCTCTCCCGTTGCGGAGCACAGGCTCCACACGCGCAGGCTCAGCGGCCATGGCTCACGGGCCCAGCCGCTCCGCGGCATGTGGGATCTTCCCGGACCGGGGTACGAACCCGTGTCCCCTGCATCGGCAGGCGGACTCTCAAGCACTGCGCCACCAGGGAAGCCCGGGAAATTTTTTAAGAAATTCTGTTGCAGGGTCTTCTCTGGTGGCTCAGCGGTTGAGAATCTGCCTGCTAATGCAGGGGACACGGGTTTGAGCCCTGGTCCGGGAGGATCTCACATGCTGCGGAGCAACTAGGCCCGTGAGCCACAACTAGTGAGGCTGCGTGTCTGGAGCCTGTGCTCCGCAACAGTGAGAGGCCCGCGCACCGCGATGAAGAGTGGCCCCCGCTCGCCACAACTAGAGAAAGCCCTTGCACAGAAACGAAGACCCAACACAGCAAAAAAGTAAATTAATAAATAGTTAAATAATAAATTCATTGTTTAAAAAAAAAAAGAAATTCTGTTTCAGTTCTTTCAATGGGGATAAGAACAGTACCTACATCGTAGGACTGCTGTGAGGATTCAATCATAGGACATGTAGAAATAGTGCTCAAAGAATAAAAATATGTGGATAATAATAAGAAGTCAATATGTGTCAGCTAGCATTACAAGAAGCAGCATCCCTTTGTATGAGACAAAAATTAAGATGACAATTCGAGAATCAGTAAAAGCTCAGGTTACAACACACTTGCCTTTCAGAAGATGTTAGGTAAATAATTTTCTAAGATAAAGATGTGTAGCTCTAGTCTTTGAGTCTATATTGCTAATTGGATCATTTGTATTGGGGATTTCACATATATATGTTCAAAAAACATCTGCTAATTAATGGAGCATTTTCTCATATATTATCTCATTGGATTCCCACCACAAACCCTAAGTAAGCAGCACAAGTATTATTCATATTCTGTAGATGAGGAAACTGAAGTTCAGAAAAGTGCTTTAATCGTCCCACAATTACAGTAACTGGAGAAGCACTTCTCACTACATCACCTTTGCCTTTAATAGCTGCTACTTGTTCACACTCACTAAAGAAATGAGTGTTACATAATTAAATGTTGATTTAAGATGACTGTTAATTTGTTTTGCTTTGGATGTAAGTAGAATCTACGAAGTATTTTTCAGCACCATAAAATTTCTAAATTAATTCTAATGGATGTAGATACAGTTCTCTCTCTATCCTTATTAGGTTCTAGAATAGTATCCTGTTTGGAAGGCCCTAGAAAGGAATGCAAACATGTATATCAATAGTTGATGTTATTCAGATGCTAAACAGACATCCTTCCTAGATTGGCTTACTGCTCCAGAGCCAAGTTATTCTAGAACACTGCAATCACACGGTAGTGTAACTAAGCTGTTTTTCATGAAAGGTAGGATACTGGCTTTATTTTGTCCCCTTGGAAGAAAGTAGCAAGCACATTTAAATAGTGGATTAAACAGTCAATCTACCATCTACACAAAATACGTTGACAATATTGTTGACTGCACAGGTCAGCTTCTGGCCTACCCTTCAATGACCACCCTTGTTACCGTTACAGAGGATTGTCCTCTTGTGCTATGGCCAGGCTAAGCTCCTCTGCCAGAGTTGTCGATTTTCTGCTAAACGTAAGCCAGGGCTTTACGACCCTTCAAGGTATCACATGCCCACAACAGCGATGTGTGATATGCAAACATGCAATCTTTTCATGAAGGTCAATGTTCATATGTTCTGTACGTTTTAATTTATCGAGAATATTATGATCTTTAACATATTTATTAAAATTGGTTTAATGAAAATGGCTAGCATTAATCCCTCTGATTCTTTTG